GAACAATACCATGACTGGACAATACACAAATAACCCGCACATAGGAGAGAAGAACTTACGACGACGTCTTCTTCTTACTCCCTCATCTTAGTGTTACTTCTACTACTACCCCCCCTCCCTCAAGGAAGGTTCCTTGACGCTGGTGAGGGGCTCTTGATCTAGGGAATTGGATCTGTGCTCCGGTTCCCTGAATTGAGCCTGTATACCTTCCATCCCCCATGTGCTGTATAATCCTACGGGTTTAGCACCCCGCAATTATAATAATAATAATTCTACTATTACCACCACTACTTCCACTGCCAGCATTACTTCTACCACTACTTATTCACTTCTTTCTTCCTTCCTCTGTCCCGTCCGTGTCTCTCTATATACTGACACCCCTCATCTTCGTGTGTTAGTGTTACTTGTAAATGGTCTAAGTTACATAGTAAATCTTATTGAACTTTTCGAATCCAGAAATTCTTCATGTATGTCGTCTGTAGACTTTCTGTCTCCGGTTTCATTCTTATCGTTAACAAAAAATATGGTTTTTGGTTGTGGTAGCACCATGGGCTCAAAATCGAAAAACTTGGGTTCTATTCTATCCTGAGGTGGACGGAGGCATTAGTTATGTTTCCTTTTCACATGTTTTCCATATTCATCTATCAGTAAGTAGATAAACAGATGTTGGCCGACTGTTATGAGTGGCATCTTTGAGAGGGACTAAAGGGTGAAGCGTTTCTTCAAGTGTCTACTGTTTTAATACAACACACTTGTGGCTTATCATTATTAATGACTGTATACGACAAATTCAATAACATGGAAAACTGTAAACCATGAACATAGATAGGTGGGGAATTAAATCAGCATAGATCTATTTCTACAGCTAAAAATACATTGTTCTATGCACTCACCTGGCCATCACGTCAGTATCAGATTCAGAATACAACTGAGCCGTCTCCATGACTGGCCGGTATATATAACTTCCGGCTTCACGGTGTCGTGACTGCCAGAGCTGTGTCATCGGTCGGGCGTCATGGCCAACACAGATCATTGTGGAGACTATGCACAGCCAACAGAGAGCTCGATGTTACCCCGATACTCCTTCCTGACCATACCTTGGAACAAGCAAGCAGTGGAAACTGTACTTATCAAAACCAGGGTATTATCAAAGGTTTGTTTGTTTGTGTGTGTGTGTGTGGTTGAAGGGGTCGAGTCTTAGCGCCTGGCCCGTCCTCTTCGCTGATCGCTACTATGTTCATACTCTCCCTGCTCCAAGAGCCTTATCTTACCACTTCTTAAAGCTATGTATGGATCCTGCCTCTACTACATCACTCTCCAGATTGTTCCACTTCTGACAACTCTAAAGTCAGAAGAAGTACTTCCTAACACCCCTATGACTCATCTGTGTTTTTAACTTCCAGTTGTGTCCCTTTGTTCCTGTATCTCATCTCTGAAACATTCTGGCCCTGTCCATCTTGTCAATTCCTCTCAGTATTTTATACGTTGTTATCATGCTTTCCCTATCTTTCCTGTTTTTCAGTGTCGTTAAATGAGTTCCCTTAACCTCTCCTCGTAGGACATGCCCATTAGCTAAGGGAATAGTCTTGTTGCAAACCTTTGCACTTTCTCTAATTTCTTGATGTGTTTGACCGTGTATGGGTTCCATAGTGGTGTTGCATAATCCAATATGGGCCTGACATACACACTGTATAGCGTCATGAAGACTCCTTAGATGTCGAAACGCTATTTTTAGGTTTGCCTGGCGCCCATGTGCTGTACCTGTTATTTGGTTAATATGTCCCTCTGGAGATGTGCTCGGTATGATGCTCACCCCAAGATCCTTTCCTTGAGTGAGATTTGCAGCCTTTGACCTCATAGTCTGTACTCTGTCTGCGGTATTCTTTGTCCTTTCCCAAGCTTGATGACTTTGCACATACTGGGGTTAAACTCCAGGAGTCATTTGTTGGACGAGGCTTGCAGCCTGCCCAGATCCCCTTGTAAGCTTGCATGATCCTCGTTCACTTGTATTCTCCTCATTAGCTTCACGCCGTCTGCAAACAGGAACACCTTCGAATCTGTCCCTTCCGTCATGTCATTCACATATACAAGAAACAGCACCAGACCTAGGACTGACCTTTGTGGAACCTCACTCAACACATGCACCCACTCTGACACCTTGTCAGGTACCAACGCACTTTGTTTCCTTACTGAAAAGTATTCCCTGATCCATTTCAGTACTTTCCCTGCCAGCTCCTCTAGCTTTTCAATCCTTCTCTTGTGTGGTACTGTATCGAAAGCCTTCTTATAGTCCAAGAAGATGCAGGCTACCCATCCTTCTCTCTCCTGTTTTCTGTTACCTCGTCGTAGAACTCCATTAGGCTTGTGATGCAATATTTCCCTTCCCTGAAGCCGTGCTGATTGTTATGTATGAGCCCAATCGTTTCTAGGTGCTCTGCTACTCTTCTGATAATCTTCTTCATAACTTCATACTACACATGTTAGTGACAGTGGTCTGTAGTTTAATTTTGTGTGTGTGTGTGTGTGTGTGTGTGTGTGTGTGTGTGTGTGTGTGTGTGTGTGTGTGTGGTGTGTGTGTGTGTGTGTGTGTGTGTGTGTGTGTGCGTGTGCGCGTGTGTGCGTGTGCGTGTGTGCGTGTGTGCGTGTGCGCGTGTGCGTGTGCGTGTGGATATCCATGCAGTGTGATGCCGGTAACCAGAAAATTGATGTATTCGGGTATTGTTGATGTGTTCCGGGGTAAGATTCACCGTCTCGGGAAATAAGTTTGTTCCCTTGGTGTAGCCAGCCAGTTGTGTCTGTAAAAGTTCAACTCTAGTTCCTCGTCCCTCCTCTGTTTTCAACAAGTGCTGTGAGTTATTCATTGCCCAGTTGGGCTCTGTTGTCTGTAACTTTCGTCACTTTTACCTTGTAAATCATATATATATATATATATATATATATATATATATATATATATATATATATATATATATATATATATATATATATATATATATATATATATATATATATATATATATATATATTATATATATATATATATATATATATATATATATATATATAATATATATATATATGTATATATATATATATATATATAAAGAGAGAAAGAGAGAGATAATCGTCGTGCCATACGGAGGAAGGATTCTTCTCCACTTCCCCATATATATATATATATATATATATATATTATATATATAATATAATATATATATTTATATATATATATATATATATTATATATATATATATAATATATATATTTTAATATATATATATATATATATATATATATATATATATATATATATATATATATATTATTTTTATTATCACACTGGCCGATTCCCACCAAGGCAGGGTGGCCCGAAAAAGAAAAACTTTCACCATCATTACTCCATCACTGTCTTGCCAGAAGGGTGCTTTACACTACAGTTTTTAAACTGCAACATTAAAAACCCCTCCTTCAGAGTGCAGGCACTGTACTTCCCATCTCCAGGACTCAAGTCGGCCTCCCGGGTTTCCCTGAACCCCTTCATAAATGTTACTTTGCTCACACTCCAACAGCACGTCAAGTATTAAAAACCATTTGTCTCCATTCACTCCTATCAAACACGCTCACGCATGCCTGCTGGAAGTCCAAGCCCCTCGCACACAACACCTCCTTTACCCCCTCCCTCCAACCTTTCCTAGGCCGACCCCTACCCCGCCTTCCTTCCACTACAGACTGATACACTCTTGAAGTTATTCTGTTTCGCTCCATTCTCTCCACATGTCCGAACCACCTCAACAACCCTTCCTAGCCCTCTGGACAACAGTTTGGTAATCCGCACCTCCTCCTAACTTCCAAACTACGAATTCTCTGCATTATATTCACACCACACATTGCCCTCAGACATGACATCTCCACTGCCTCCAGCCTTCTCCTCGCTGCAACATTCATCACCCACGCTTCACACCCATATAAGAGCGTTGGTAAAACTATACTCTCATACATTCCCCTCTTTGCCTCCAAGGACAAAGTTCTTTGTCTCCACAGACTCCTAAGTGCACCACTCACTCTTTTTCCCTCATCAATTCTATGATTCACCTCATCTTTCATAGACCCATCCGCTGACACGTCCACTCCCAAATATCTGAATACGTTCACCTCCTCCATACTCTCTCCCTCCAATCTGATATTCAATCTTTCATCACCTAATCTTTTTGTTATCCTCATAACCTTACTCTTTCCTGTATTCACCTTTAATTTTCTTCTTTTGCACACCCTACCAAATTCATCCACCAATCTCTGCAACTTCTCTTCAGAATCTCCCAAGAGCACAGTGTCATCAGCAAAGAGCAGCTGTGACAACTCCCACTTTGTGTGTGATTCTTTATCTTTTAACTCCACGCCTCTTGCCAAGACCCGCGCATTTACTTCTCTTACAACCCCATCTATAAATATATTAAACAACCACGGTGACATCACACATCCTTGTCTAAGGCCTACTTTTACTGGGAAAAAATTTCCCTCTTTCCTACATACTCTAACTTGAGCCTCACTATCCTCGTAAAAACTCTTCACTGCTTTCAGTAACCTACCTCCTACACCATACACTTGCAACATCTGCCACATTGCCCCCCTATCCACCCTGTCATACGCCTTTTCCAAATCCATAAATGCCACAAAGACCTCTTTAGCCTTACTAAATACTGTTCACTTATATGTTTCACTGTAAACACCTGGTCCACACACCCCCTACCTTTCCTAAAGCCTCCTTGTTCATCTGCTATCCTATTCTCCGTCTTACTCTTAATTCTTTCAATATAACTCTACCATACACTTTACCAGGTACACTCAACAGACTTATCCCCCTATAATTTTTGCACTCTCTTTTATCCCCTTTGCCTTTATACAAAGGAACTATGCATGCTCTCTGCCAATCCCTAGGTACCTTACCCTCTTCCATACATTTATTAAATAATTGCACCAACCACTCCAAAACTATATCCCCACCTGCTTTTAACATTTCTATCTTTATCCCATCAATCCCGGCTGCCTTACCCCCTTTCATTTTACCTACTGCCTCACGAACTTCCCCCACACTCACAAACTGGCTCTTCCTCACTCCTACAATGATGTTATTCCTCCTTGCCCTATACACGAAATCACAGCTTCCCTATCTTCATCAACATTTAACAATTCCTCAAAATATTCCTTCCATCTTCCCAATACCTCTAACTCTCCATTTAATAACTCCCCTCCTATTTTTAACTGACAAATCCATTTGTTCTCTAGGCTTTCTTAACTTGTAATCCACTCAAAACTTTTCTTATTTTCAACAAAATTTGTTGATAACATCTCACCCACTCTCTCATTTGCTCTCTTTTTACATTGCTTCACCACTCTCTAACCTCTCTCTTTTCTCCATAAAACTCTTCCCTCCTTGCATCACTTCTACTTTGTAAAAACTTCTCATATGCTAACTTTTTCTCCCCTTTCTACCTCTTTACATCACATTCCACCAATCGCTCCTCTTCCCTCCTGCACCACTTTCCTATAACCACAAACTTCTGCTGAACACTCTAACACTACAGTGTTTAAACCTACCCCATACCTCTTCGACCCCATTGCCATGCTTCATTAGCCCAATCATCCTCCAAATCTGTTTATATCTTACCCTAACTGCTCCTCTTTAGTTTATAAACTTACCTCTTCTTCCTGATGCGTCTATTCTCCGTATCCCAAACAACCTTTACTCTCAGTGTAGCTACAACAAAGGGGATCTGATTAACTGTGGCCCCTAAAACAGACATCCTGAAGTCAAATCCATTTTATTTTCAATAGGCAAGGAAAACTCATTTAAAACTAGGTCCTTTCAAAAATTTTTTCCTTTATACTTTTTAAAATTTTTTTTTTTTTCGTTTTGTTATGTAAAAAAATAATTTATACTAAACAAACCCTTTAGAAAACTTCAAACCTTTTATAAAAAGCGCAATTAATTTACCTAATCCAACTAAAATTTTTTGAAAAATTTTACAAAAAATTAATAAAACACAATGAAATAAATTTTTTCTTTAAGTTTTAGAATGATTTTTGGCGATTATTTCATGTGATTATTTCATATGTCAATTTTCCCCTCAAATGTATTTGGGGTTCTTTTCAGAAGATTTTGCTACCGATTTTGGGTAACCATCCAGAAGTGGTTTTTACCCTGCGACTCTCGTCATGCTACAGCAGCTTTTTGTTCTGTAAGGTTTCCCCTGCAAAGTTTGGGAATGAATGGGTTTTTCCCCAAGTTCCGCCTCAATTCTAAATTTTTTATTGCTGAAATTCATGAGGGATGTTATGCCTAGAAAGCGTGCAAGTATTGTAGCTCTTAGAAAACGTGCTGATTTAAGAATCAGATAGATCGCCGAAAATTTGAGTTTAACAAAGTCAACTGTTGGTCGAATTCTGAAGAGATTTTGACGTTTTGGTGATTGGGAGGCTGCGTCGGGAAGATGTGGAAGAAAACGCAAGACAACACCTCACGGTGACAGTGATACCGTAAAAAATAGTGTGAAGGATCCCAAGAAAACCAACAAAGATCTAGAGAGAAATTTGACTTTAGATGGCCTAAATGTTGATTCTTCAACCGTTCGAAAAAGGTTTCTTGAATTTTGGAAGAACTAACAAAAAGCCGTAAAGAAACAATTAAAAAAGCTGCTGTGCAGAAAAAACGTTTGGGGGGGCACCGATCAAAGGATAGCGACAATGAATGAAAAAGTTATATTTTCAGAGAGGCGCATTTGAAGTACAGGGGTACAGATCATAACATGGACGGAGCAAAGGCCAACCTCTTCGGAATGGACACATTCAACAAGCGCCTAAACACCCACCTAAGAAGATGTTTTGGGGTACATTTACTGCTAAAGGCCCTTGGACGGCTTGTTATTGTTGAGAGAATGAAGAAGAGTGAATTATAAGGCAATCCTGGCATCTCATTTGCTTCCCATTGTAGATAGACTTTCCTTATGGAGAAGGCATTTTCCAGCAGGATCTTTCTTCATGCCACACTTCCAGAAAAATGCTGACATTCTTCGAAGAGAGTGGGCTAAGCGTTCTAAACTGGTCTGGAAACTCTCCTGACCTCAATCAAATTGAGAATGTAATTACAATAACCAAACGCAGGATTGCAAAACAGGACTGTTCAGCTGTGGAGAAGCTAATTGCTGTTGTTATTAGGACCTGGTACAACAGCGAAAAACTTGCCAAAATGTGTTCAACTTTGGTCGATTCTGTGCCAAAGCGTGTAGCAATGCTTATAAAAGGGTAGTTATATCTCTTAATAAATTAATTATCTGTAATATCACCGTGTAATTTTCAAATAAACTTTAATTTGCCAAATAAATGTCTTATTTCATCACTGCATATATATATATATATATATAATATATATATATATATATATATATATATATATATATATATATATATATATATATATATATATATATATTATATATATAAAC